TTAGTCGTGAGCTCTTACGCCTAAACAAACAGTGGAAAATGTACTAATGAGGGTTTATCGGTTGAAGTATTCGCAATACTTTAGCAGACTTTCTTCCAGTCGTAGTGATAGCAGTACTTCGACACTATTTTTTTCTCAGTTGTGAAGAGAGTGTCCAATATCTATCTTGTTCACAATTGAGCCACTTTTCTTATGGCGACCTGAAATCTGAGAGCGGTCCTATGTATTTTGAATCTCAGAGCCTTTGTCAGTCTGCTGAAGACGAATCCAGAGCATTTTACTAAACTGCCTCCTTTTTCAGATTGTCGATGTTTATGTTAATAACGAGTTTGTGCTGACTATTAACGAAGGAGGTTCTTTTGGCGAGCTCGCTCTTATCTATGGAACACCAAGAGCTGCAACAGTCAAAGCAAAGGTAGTCATTTGTTCAAAGAAAACATCTCTATTCTCACTACTTGTCAAGTTCAAAAATATTTTGAAGACGGACGTCAAACTATGGGCGATTGACCGCCTCTCATACCGACGCATATTGATGGGGTCAGTGATGAGGAAACGCAAGATGTATGACGAGTTCCTATCTAAGGTTCAGATTTTAGGTAAGTTTGTGTTTTTGCTTACGAATTGTTGTTTTGCGTCAAAGCGTTGATTTTGCAGCTGATCTTGACAAATGGGAACGCGCAAATGTTGCTGATGCTCTTGAACGATGTGATTTTGAACCTGGAACTCATGTGGTTGAACAAGTGAGTTTCGCAGTTGACGAAGACTGTGAGGTTATTATGGTTGCACTGTTTTAGGGCCAGCCTGGAGATGAATTCTTCATAATACTTGAAGGTGAGGCCAATGTGCTGCAGAAACGAAGTGATGACGCGCCTTTCGATGTTGTTGGTCATCTGTCTTCTTCCGATTACTTTGGTAAACGTTCACTTTCTCTTTGCAGCTTCGTCATTCCGTTTTCTAATTAGACTTTATGTATTGTACTTTTAGGTGAAATTGCCCTCCTTTTGGATCGCCCCCGTGCTGCCACAGTTGTTGCGAAGACCCAGTTGAAATGCATCAAGCTGGATCGTGCCCGTTTTGAGCGTGTAATGGGACCTGTTCGTGAGATCCTCAAGCGTGACGTGTCTAACTATAACTCCTATGTTAAACTGATGACTTGAATCAAGCATTAGCAACTAGTAAATGACGCTAACGCTTAGATCCTTCTCTCCTCTAGTCATTAATGCCAGACTTGCGCAATGTGAACCCTTTAACGGTGTTTATGAATGAGCCAGTATTTTGGAGTTCATAGACATTGTTTTGGGTTAGAGTTAAGTTAATAGACGAACTAGTTCCGCCTTCCTCATTTTTTTACTTGTGTCGTTAATATTTCGTAGTATTGCGCAAGCTCATGTCATTCTATTAATCGAGAGTTCTATGTGAGTAAAAGTAGCAAAATTAACTTCGTTCAGTCGAATTATTGCTGTTCCACTTTAATACACTGTAATGTTAATGGTCATCGTATATGTATATGAAATGCTTTTTGTTGTGTCTGTCTCGTTTGTGATTTAATTTAGAGGCGTTTTTCCACATTACAATTTCGCCAATCGAACCCGCACACATCTAGCTTTACCGTTTTTCGCGTCCTTCGTTCTTGAGCAATCCTACATACAGACCGTTCTCTCCATCTCTTTTGCTTGCACTACTTGTTTATAGTAAGACTCAACTGGCTCGGTATACACTTTTTGCACATGTATTGATCCTTTGAACGATTGTATCTTTTCGTTTCCTTGTAGATTTTGTTTAATCAACAGTTATTCAGAGTCAGAGTAATATTTTCTTTTCTCATTCGTTTTATCGTGTGTAGAGGCAATTGAACATACTGTAAAATGTTCCTGTATCGAGATACAGAATAAACGAGCATTATTTAGTGATTTCATGGTTGAATCCTTGCTTTGGATTTTAAAAAAGTGCAGAAAGTTTCGTCCATTAACATCTCACTGCTAGTGCATGTTAGCAATAGAGTTTATAATGTTAAGATTTGTATTCTGATTTGTGTACTCTTTCTATGCAAGTTGTTCAAGTCGAATTAGCTAAAATTCAACAGAAATGTGAGCTTTAGCGGTGAAAGGCAAGTCGCGATAGAGGCTCCAATTGCAAGAAAATGTTGCATGTGTTGAATGTGCTGGTTTCAGAAGTCGATTTCTCATGAGTGAAAATCTCATTTGACGTTCTAATGGTAAGAAAACTTTCTTGGGCTTTAAGATAGACTTGCTGTTGCTTATTCTGTCTGGCAAAATGGAGAACATTGGTCTTGTCCTAGAATTGCAGTAAATGTTCCATATGAGCATCTGGAAGCGCTCAAGTAGGGGATCGTCATGGTTGTAACATTTGCTAATATATGCATTTTCTGTTTGTGACCCCGCTAAGCAAGATGCATGCATAACACTGCGTCTAAGAAATGGACGTTCGATTATGCACTTGCTGATGCTTTAGTTAGGCTGAGAAAAATAATAATGGCTATAGCCACTGTCTAATTCTAAAATAATCTCTTTGATCTCATCAATATAAAGGTTAGGTTACATCTTGTCACCTACCTGAATTGGTTGAGACGATTAAGTAGTATAGTGCCGTGATTTTTTGAGTGGAATTAATTCCGAGGTCTCTTATGTTAAGTGTATCCAGTGGGAATATAACAAGGATTTCTCGACATATTAATTTAAATTTGTTTGGTGATCCCTTATCCATCATATAACATGTAAGTGGAGCACTTCTTGCTCTAAAAGTAATTCTGCATGACAAAAGGTTCGCTCTCGATACTCCGTTAAGAAGAGTAAGCGGCGATGCGATCAACGTATCATGTGCGTTTTGAATATTCACTAAGCGCTCGTGATTCGCATAGGGTGTTAGTGCCAGGAGAGGAACGGAATGCTATTTACAGCATTCGAGTGAGATTTGAAAGATTGTTCAGAGCATTCACCTGTTGTTTAAAGGAATTCGAAGGGCTAATGAACCTTCTACATCCCACATCATTCGACTTATTGACAGTTGTTGCGCGCAATCGCTGCGTGCTAGATGGCGAGAACGACATCCGGTTCAAAGGGGCAGAGTGGCCAGCGTTAACTCAAAAAAAAGAAGAAAAAAATGGAGACCAACGCGTTTTTTCTCTAAATTTGAGATTGAGTATACAGTAGGCAGAAGATGTGATTCGTACAGTAAGCTATACTACTATCCTATCAATTTTAATTTTTTTCGCCTTCTTAACTGATTACTTAAATCCAGCGAATGCAGCTTCCTTGTTGTTGTTTTTTTTTTAATTTCAATAAATCAATGCGTTTATTACTTACAACAATCTTCTTCTGTCATAGATTCCATAAATCGCATTGATAGCATAACTGCTAAGAGGCCAGTTGGCTGGATGTGGCAACGAATTCAAGAACTTAG